CATGGATAAGACTTGAGTAAGTAAAGAGGATGAGAAAGGGCATTTTAGACTTCAGGACTCAACTCGAGAAGACAAGAAAAATTAGTAATGACTTGGAAAAAGTTTGTAGTGACTCTGATTAGAGTAAAATATTAGTGTTAGAAAGCGAGATTAGATTCAATTCTGTGGAGGATCCTGAATGTTGAGCAACTGGCAAGCATTTTATAAGCATTTGGTAGCCATTGGAGTATGTTGAGCAGATGAGTATACTGTAACATCAAAAGGCATCATCGAAGAAAAATATAGATGCTCCTCAGCTTACGATAGGCTTACATCCTGATAAACTTATCATAGCTGAAAACATCATAAATCAAAAATTCACTTAATACACCTAACCTACCGAACATCATAGCTTAGCCTTGCCTACCTTAAATGTGTTCACGACACTTACATTAGCCTGCGATTGGACAAAAGTATCTTGCTACCTCTGCCCAGCATCACAAGAGAGTAGCATACTGCATATCATTAGCCCAGGAAAGGATCAAAATTCAAAATTCAAAATGTGGTTTCTACTGAACATGTATCACCTTCTTGCCATTGTAAAGTTGAAAATATTAAGTCAAAACATCAGAAGTAGGAGGCCATTCTTAACAATCTTAATAATTTTAATAATTGAAAATCACTAGCCAAAAGTTGGCAAAGCCAATATTTTGTAAATTTGGGATTCTCATTAAAATATACAATTCCAATGTTCAGAAGGGAAGGAATTTATAACTATTTAGGATGTGTCTGTATAATATTGCTTTAAAGAACAAATGGAGTATTCAGATAACCTCATTTTTATTTGGATTATTTGAATGAATTCCAACTTATTTTTAAATTCAGGCAAAACGATTTGCATACATAGCCTAAGTTTCATGTTCTCATTGTTTAAAACTACATAGCAGGCATCAAGGAATGTTTTATCACTGACACCCAGTGCAACCCTACCCACTGGGCCTGCTCTCGTAATTGATGTTGCACATGTGGACCAGTGAGAATGGTCTTGGAGAATATTACACAGGGGCTCTATTCTTAGGAGCCAGTAGGTCAAATGTGAGACACTCTAATGTATTTGGAACTTTTAAAATATGTAAAAAGATGTTTGTTGGTTTGTTTGCTTGTTTTCCTAGCCAACTGGCCTTTTGGCTTGCAAATAATATGTATGAATCTGTGTGTTTTCTTCCAGGGTCTTTCTTCCCTGATTTCAAGCCCTCAGAAACAGTTTTTAAAATAGTTTTTTGGCTCGGATACATGAACAGCTGCATCAATCCCATTATATACCCCTGCTCCAGTCAAGAGTTTAAAAAGGCTTTTCAGAATGTCTTGAGAATTCAGTGTCTCCGCAGAAAGCAGTCTTCCAAAGGTGCCCTGGGCTACACCCTGCACCCACCCAGCCACGCCCTGGAGGGGCAGCACAGGGACCTGGTGCGCATCCCTGTGGGCTCAGGAGAGACCTTCTATAAAATCTCCAAGACGGATGGGGTCTGTGAATGGAAGTTTTTCTCTTCCCTGCCCCGTGGATCGGCCAGGACTGCAGTGCCCAAAGACCGATCAGCCTGCACCACGGCCCGGGTGAGGAGCAAAAGCTTTTTGCAGGTCTGCTGCTGCACGGGGCTCTCGACCCCCAGCCATGGAGAGAACCATCCAGCTCCAACCATTAAGGTCCACACCATCTCCCTCAGTGAAAACGGGGAGGAAGTCTAGAGGACAGGAAAGGTCAGAAGGAAGGGGAGATAATCTTAGGCACCCACTCTACTTCCTACTCGAAAGGCCAGTCAGTTTGCTCTTCCTGGATGACAAGACAGAACCCTCAAACCAGGGACCATCTGGGAATGGGTTGGGGGTCAGGGAGGAGGGAGGATGTCACAACCGTCCAGTTCAAAATGAGGATAACAGCACGTCCTTGAGGCTAATGCTCTCTCGGGCATCTTCCGAGCCCGCTCTCTACGTCTGGCCCTTTCAACGAGAAACACCATGGGAAACAGAATTTCATACACAATCCAAAAGACTATAAATATAAGATTATGATTTCATCATGAATATTTTCAGCACACACTCTAAGTTTGGAGCTATTTCTTGATGGAGTGAGGGGATTTTATTTTCAGGCTAAACTTGCTGACAGCCACGTTGGGTATTTATGGGGAGAGGGCCTGGAGAGGAAGAGCCCTTAAGATGGTGGCCGATATCCAGGCACATTATTTTTAGAGCAAGTTTTAAACTTCACCATGTCTGATACAGCTGATATATCTATCAGCTTGGGGGAACTTGACAGTGAAATTTATCTTTTGTTGCAATTTGATGGGATACTGTTCTTAATTCCTTCTAAGGATGAGAGTGGAGGGCAACTCATTATGTCTTTGAACCAATGAAAGCATATCCTCTATGCCTGGTCTAGAGAGTGTTGAAACAATCAGTCAGCGAAAGTTTGGCTTTTCCTAATGGAAGACAGTAGAGATGAGGGTCATTTTTTTAACTGAACTACTAGGGGCAAAATTCCACTAAGTAGTTCCGAGATCAGATGGAGGAAGGCTTCTCGTGTAACATATTTAAAGATCAAGAGGTTGGGGTGAGACGGGTGCTAATTTCATGCTAAAGTAGAGGCTGCAAAATTACTCCACAGCCTTCTTAATATGGTCTTGGTAAATGCCTTTCTTGGTAAATCACTCACCTTTTCTATAACATCATTATGAAAATCCATAATTTATAGCATTTTGAAAGGCACATCTTGACTTCTATTTTTTCTCAGTGATTCACTATCGCATAATGAAGTTCAAGGTTCCCAGTGCACCTGTAGCATGTTGGAATGAGCCTTATAATCCAGATGAATCTTTTCTGAATTTGAGAGATACATATGCTTAGCTTTGAACTGATTAATCACCAAAAATCCGTCGAAAGCAGAAGTTTGCAAAGAGTTTTTGACAGACATCCACTTATTCTGGTAAAATACCCAGTGGCCCATTCATTTCACCTCTTCCCACTTTCTATAGGGACTTGCTATTTTTGCTTTATGTATACCAAATTTTGGTAAAGTTCAGTAACTCGGTTTATTACTAAAGATGAAGATGCTAAATATATGTAAAACTTAAAATATTTTTCACATTCCACAATAAGAATTCAAAATAAAATTTATGTTTTTGGATTAATTCTTGACTAAAATCACTGATCTAAAACTACTGACCATTTTGGTGGTCTCTTTCCCCATATTTGAGTAATTTCCTCTAAGAATTTTGGAGCATATTGTAGCCATTATTTAACCTTCATGGCAAAGGTAGTGGCCCCATCATCTTTTCCTTCTTTCCTTGCAACAAAATGATAATTTCCTTAAATCCTTCTGAAAAGCTAATATCTTTGCACACTTACGTGGAAGGTATGTTTGCATGCAGATTTGAGTTGGTTTGTTGTTGTGTTTGGATATAGAATATTACTACTTTCTCAGCCCTTTCTGGAGAATGTCTTCTTTTTGACCAGATAGACACTCTGCCTTATGCTCATAATTTGGATTCTGGCATTAGATGTTGGCTGGATTTTTAGACTCTTCTGGTCTGTCTGCATGTCCCATAACAGCTCTACCAGATGTGGGTGTCCTATTATGGATGTAGGCACCAGGGAAGGACTTGAATATGCAAACCTCGTTTCTCTTCTGCCTTAATAGGAAAGACAAGTTTCATTGTTGAGAAGAACTTCTTTTGGAATCTGAATTTTAAACAAAAAACAAAAAACACTGTTGCCAGGCTCCCCCTTACAGGAAGAACATCCCTGCAAAAGAAAGGTAACAGTTTTTCTTCAGGATATTTGGCTTCATGTTTGAGATGATCTTTAAACACCTTTACAGACAAATTTAAATGTTAGCTATTAGAAAGCTTAAGATCACCAGAAAGCTAGCATTAATGCCACTGCCAATCAAAATAAACAACTGGAGAATCTTTCCCTCCTCAGATAAAAGCCATGACAATTGTATTCGTGTAAAACTATCCATAAATAATTGTCTACTACACTCTTCTCCAACCCTACTCCCTCCAGGGAGGCAAACTTTAACATTTTTTTCCTTTCCCATAACATGATATTATGTATAAACATGCCAATTTCACAAGAAATTGATAATGTCGCCCAAGACTTAGTCAAAGTGGGATAAACAATATACAAGTTATTTTTTACTCATCCACAAAAATCTCTGTACCTTTGAGCATGCCAAAAAACTATCTAAAATTGTCACAGTTAAACAAGTGATTGTCATATTTATACTCACATGTTTACTGCTTCTATTTGGAGTTTGAAGAATTTACCCAGAGCAACAGTGGTCAAAATGTCTTCTCTGATAGGTTATAAAAAGTAGTTGCTTTGGGATTATCTAAACATCAGAAAAAGTCAACTTGACATTATGGGATAGGCAAAATCTGAGTTTCTTCTGCAATTCAAACTGCATGCATTTAGAGAGACTTTGAATCTCTTTATTCAAAAATGTCCCCTAACTTTTGCAAGGATTTCAGAAAAGCTTTTTCACTTGTCACAGTTTTCTTCCTTTTGCCTCTGTCGTGTCTCATCCAAGACCTCTTCTGCCTGTAATCACTCAGAGTATGCTAACACCCTCCCAAATACTAATGTTTCTAACTCTCTCACCACCTACTTGAATTGGTCCATCTATGGTAGACAGTGATATTTGGGTAAATAAGTATTTTCTTAAGGCTTTTTTCTTAGGTGCTACTGTGTGCCTGGCATCTTGTACCCATTGCTGCTAAACCTCATAGCAACTCCACTATTCATATTGTAGAGATAAAAATCTGATAGTCACGAGTGATTAAGGACTGGCTGAAGGCCAAGGAGGAACTGGGATTCAATCCCGGGTCTCCCTGAGACTAAAGTCTGCAGAGTTTTAAACAGCATCCCTGCCTCATAAACAATGGAGGTAAAAGCTCCCATTCGAGACTGGGTATGCTGAGGATACTAAACCGTACCGAAACATTTCAATGTTTTGTTTCTTTGGGATTTGCCTTCTAATTAACCTTGGTAAATATGCTGCCAAATCTTCATTCCAGCTAAACCTAAGAGCAGGTCATAAATGAAAGGGTTTGGTGCCAACAATTCTATCAGACTGCATCATTTTCTCAGGGATCGTGGGCTGCAATGTTATCCAGGCCTTGCAAGAAGGATGAACTGTATCAAACTGGGAGAAGATGAACATATAGGAGAATGCAGAAGAGGCTGCATTGGCCTAGAACAGCAAAGCACAGTTGTGGATATGAAGTACATCTGTGTAGCGTGCCAAAGTTATTGATTACCAGTTAATTAGCAGACTTTCAGGAAGTATATCCTTTTCTAAAGTAAATAAAAACAAATACGACATCACTTTCAACTGTATTTCAACTTTTTTTTTTGTTTTTTGAGTTGGAGAAAGAGAGCAGGAAGTATAGGTATTTCACCAAGATTACATAGTATATCCTTTTCTAAAGTAAATAAAAACAAATACAACATCACTTTCAACTGTATTTCAACATTTTTTTTTTGTTTTTTGAGTTGGAGAAAGAAAGCAGGAAGTATAGGTATTTCACCAAGATTACACAGAGCTCAGAGAGTGTGTCAAACATGTGAATGTCATGTCAGTCATGTAGAGACATAGTTCAGAATGCTGATCTCCAGGCAGCCAAAGACCTAGACAATCTTTGAAAAGGAAGAATCGGTTGGCAGCCGTGGCTACTTCTTAGATGGTATCACTTTGCTCCTGGGTTTCCTTTCGCAGGTGAAAGCTTTATGTCCTGAATATCTCGGCTACCCTGTCTCTTCACAGTGAACCATCACGCAGACCTCCTAGCCCCGTGGGTTCTGTGGTTATGGCCTGGGAGTGAGAACGTTTTAAAGGGTATTTGCTTGGGAAGGTAATTATTCAGTCTTTAATCACAGCTACTTAATCCCAGCTTGACATACATTCTCCCTTGTTTCTGGGGCTGGTTCTGCTCATGTCCTCTTGCCAAAAGAGACGCTGCCTCTGCAGAGGGAGTACTTGTTGACTTAATTAACAGCTCTGCTCATCAGCAAAGGGAGAAGGGAGCCCAAGCCCAAGCACATGGAAGGTAAACTCTGCAAGCAAAATCAGGGTGATGAAAAAGAAGGCAGAGGTGGTAACCATGGCGACAACATCAGAGGTATGCTCACTTGTTACTCTGATTTCTTTTTACACTACTAGGACTTTTAACCATGAAACCACCCGAACACAGCTCCAGTTGAACCCAGTTGGAATACCATTGGCATCTGCTCCTTGACTACAAACTGTGCTGTGGAGCAGGGCCGAGCCCAGGCTGCTGTGGGGTCCACCATCTTCAAAAAGCAATGGCTACAGTGGCCTCCTGGCCTCCAAAGTCCGTGCAAGATGAGTGAGTGGAGGTGACTGTTGTGGGGCTGGGCTGGCAACAGCAAGTCAGGATTTCAGCAGAGGACACCCAGCCCCTGGCCAGTGCTCCCGTCAGTGTTACCTCTTTCATGCTCCCCCAGACCCAAATGTCACGGGGCTGAGGATGGACCTGATCTGCTCTGTGCAGGAAAATGCCATTTTTCCTTTGCTCCTGCGACATGGATTACTGAGTCTCTCACCTAAAAAGAAGATTATGGAAGTTGGGGTAGAGGCTGTTGAGAAGGAGGAGGAAGGCTTACCATGGACATTGCTCAAAGCAGGATGGATGTTTCAGAAATACATTGCTGCAACTGATAAGCAAAGATGTGCCCTAAAGCTGATGTTTATGCATTTCCAAAGACAAAGTACTTGTCTTCCCTTTTCATGTGGCTC